AAGGAGGGGCTGTAAAAGGCTGATGGGGTATTGCTGGCACACTCGTTCTGTGATGTGTCGGCTCATTGCGATTGTTAATCCGCTGAATTGCTGTTTGTGTGTGTGTCAGAGTGCTCCTGGCTCTTCCAGCTGTGTTGTTGATTAAAGTAAACACTGATGGAGGGGGAACAACGCTGAGCTGCAACAAGCTAATAGAACACATCAACCAGCATCAGGTGAGCAGCTCATTTAATGTCTCTTATTAATCTGATTTAGATGTTTGGCTGGAAAAAGTACTTTTTATGCTCCTCTCTGTTCGTGCACTAGAGGAAAGCGTGTTCTCCAGCAGGCGTGCTGTCCTGCAAGATAACTGCACACTTCCTGAGAGTAAGAATCTTTCTGAAATCTAAAGTTCATACAGTTTGTACCTTTAGGTGAGCTTGTGAGATTATTGAGAGTTGTGCTTCCTCTCCAGGGTCTGTTAGGTGCCAGTGTACGTTGTGGACAACCAAGATATGAAGTCAACAAAGCCTGGTCTCAGATCAGCGTGCAATGTCCTGTTTTGTTGATCTCCACAGTGGTACTGTCTGTTCATTCTGACTAAAATGCCTTTGAACACATTTGGCACCTTCAATATTTAGAAAGTCCTAAAATCTTTTATCACTGGAATCACAGATCAGTGATCTATTAGCGCCTGTGTGAAGCCTGCGATGTTGTGTAGAGACATGACAGTAATATAGCGTCTTTGTTGTGTGTCCGTGTGCAGCACTGGTGGCAGCGTCTCCGTCCCGTCCTGTTGTCACTGTGGCGTCGTCTGTGTGATGAACAGACGCTGCCGGAGCAGCTGCAGCTCCTCGCAGAATGTCAGCACTGGGCCTGCAGGTAACGCCTCCTTCATGAACCACTGTCAGCAAATTATGTACACCTCCTCACAGCTGCTCACAGTCACATGACATATGTTCACATCTTAGACTGCCTTGATGTCTGTAACAGCTTTGCACACTTTTCTTCGTATCAGCCACCTTCATGAGCTTCATGGGGTTTGTTGTGGCTGCATTAGTGTTATGCACTTATGGTGAAACATATTAAATGAATCCTCCCTTGGTTCTAATAGTTCTCAAAAGTGTCTAATTATCTTGGTGAACCCTACAGAAACCCCATGTTCAAGTTTTTTGTTACGAAATCAGTTTCACCCCGGTTCTTTTATTCGTCGAAACTTCCAGAGACGGCACCGGAACTCAGTAGTCATTTTCACAAAACCTTTATTCATCTTTATTCATCTTCATTTAAGCATGCACTTCTAGAAGGGAAGACGAGGCCGGTGTGTCCCTCTGCAAAATCTTCACCCCTTTGTTAGTTACAGCCAGCTTTATAGAGGCGTCCCCATCATAAACCCCCCTACGGTGTGCTGCAAACTCTATGTGTCTATGTGAGTGCTCGTGTGTGACTGTATACAAATACCTGTATGTATGTGTGTGCACGTGAGTGAGTGTGCGTGACAGTTAAAACACTGTGGGTGTAGGTGACTCCCTAGAGGTCATAAAACCCATCTCCCTTCCAGACCACAGTTATCCAGTTACAAATGTTGAGACCTTTCACAGTTCAACTGGGGGAGGGGTCTTCTACAATCTACTCCTAAGTTCATGACACATTCAGGCCTTTATTACATTGAGGGCAGTGTCAGTGTCTCTACAATAATTCTACATTCTATGTTAACACATTTCTAAACTCTAAAATAAGCGAAACATTTCTACATTTTCTTTCTATCTGCTCTGCAGTTTGGAGAAAGGCCAGCTGCTGCAGATGCCTCCAGCTGCAGCTCTGCTGCTGGCGGCCAGCCTTCATCGTGTCTGGCGAGGCTGTGAGGCAAACAAGCCGAGCTTCAAAGCTGCTTTGAATTTCCTGCGACCAGACAGAGACGCCAAATACAGACAGGTAAGAGCATAAAACTAATTCTACATGCTGTCCATTTTTTCACCGTTAGAATTAGATGGTGCACTATCTAATGGGCAAAAGACTGAATTCTTCAGAAGCTCCACCCACCACCAGCCACTCAGACGAAAGCTGGCTTAAAACAAGTGTAGCCTTCAAGTGAGAGAAGCTGAAAGGGTTTGTTTAATAATCTTTTGAACAGAGCATCCAAAGTTAGCCAATCAACAGCAACAAAAGACTTGCAGCTGCTGCCCTTTTCTGAAAAAACGTTGGGTGGTTTTATGGAGTCATTCTCAGCTGCTGTTAATTCGGCTCCTATATTTAAATTTATTATATACAGATCACATACAGGCAGTTTGATTGCAACATGATAGAACATAATAAAAGTCTAATAATGTGGATGAAAGTTATATAAATCTAAACTTCTGATTAAGAGAAGAAAAAGTAGAGCAGAACAAAAGTATCACACTGAGAGGTTCACTGTCTGACTGAGCCCATCTCCATCCTGCTTATTTGGTCTCCAAAGCTTTCAGTCACTTTTTCAAAAAATGCTGTTGTGTTTCTGCTTCCAGGTGCTCGTTTTCCTTCTTTTCCTGTGCGTTAACGACCACCTGACAACACTGCTATATCCTCAGGTAACTGACCACCTAAACAACAACGCTGGAATTTAGAACTGTGCAGCATTCACACTCATAAACAAGTTCTCAGAGTGGAAACAGGTCTTTCCGATGCATTTGTCTAGTCTGTTTTTGTTCCACAAATCCTACACAGAAATAGTCCAGGAACACAGGAACTGACTGTGAAGACATGCACAACTTATATGAACATAACATTAGCAATTTATATATGATAATTGCTTATTTTATTTCAATTTGTAGGATAACAGTATTTTATTAGCAGTATGGTCTTGACTAGGGATGCACCGATAC